GATATGAAAAAAATTTATTAAAATCATGAAAAAACAACAATTTAGGTAAAAAAATTGCTATACTTAAAAAATTTGTAATGTAAATGTAATAAAAATTTCTTCTTAATTTTTTTTATTTTAAAAAATTTTATAATTAAAAAACTATTTTTTTAATTCATTTATAATTAAACATTTGCTGTAAAAAAATTTTAATTTTATTAATTTAATTTTATTAACATTTTTTTACTTTTTTTCATTGCGTTTTACCCTCGAATTTTTTGAATTATGCAAAAAAATTATTCTCCATTTTATTGCCACTTTTGAATTTGGTTTCTCCATTTTTGGTTGAATCATTGCAATAAATGTCAATGCAACGCGAGTTCAGCAGCTCGCAACATTAAACTCACTGTCATTATATGTCATTGAGTTTTTTATAAATGGGTGCGTTGTAACTGGCGTGATTTTTACTTGTTGAATTACCAGGTTTTTTTTACCTTTACACATTTTTGACTTTAAAGTCGAAAATTCCAAGCAAAGCGGGTTTTGAGACATATGGTATATATAAATGGCTGTGTGTGCATTATATATGTAATATACATATAATATATACTTAGATTTGTGGTACATACATATGTATATGCAAACTTAATAAATAAAAAATGTGATTTGCTTTCATTTGCAACATTTATCGTTTAGCAAGTTTTAATAAATTTGTGATAAAAAAAATTTTTTTTTATCAACATGTTGCCAAATTTTTGCAACATGTTTCCTAACCTACGCTGTTGCACAAATTTTTGAAAATTATCTATGACTTTTATGATTTGAGCAAAAAAAATATTTTTTTTCTTTAGCAACATGTTGCTAAGTTTTTGCAACATGTTTCCTAACTTACGCTGTTGTATACATTTGGAAAATTACCTAAGATTTAAATAATTTGTGTAAAGAATTGATTTTTCTTTAGCAACATGCTGCTTAGTTTTACCAACATGTTTCTTAACTTAACAACATGTTGCTAATTTACCTATAGCATTTTTACGCATGAAATGTAATGAAAATCTAGTATTTAGCTTTTACTTCCACTTATAAGTGATATTGCAACATGTTGCCAACACTAAAAATATTGCCAAGCTTATTTTAAGTTGCAAGAGCACCGCTACACCGAATTTTACAATAAATTAACACAATTTTTACATGCTTCAATGCCAAAACTCCAAAACTCTTACTTAAAGTTTCTGCTATTGACCTAACATTGGAAAATTGTACCACCAAAATTTGCCATCTTTTAGCGCAATAAATTTTAAGTGAATTTGCGAAAAATATAAAAGAGAAATATAGCGTGAGTGCACATTGCGGCAACTACTATCACTTACTTGCTAAAGTGCAGCCAAAGAAATATTTTCGCAAACTTTTGCTACTAAATCTTGAGAAAATGACACAAACGCCGATGCTTCGGTGATTCTTGTTGCCACTCGCTTTGCAAATTCTTGTAAACTATTTTTTTTTTTGCACTTCTAACTGTTTTTTATATTTTTTTGTTAAGTAAAACTTAGACATTTTTCTACTCACACTTTTATTTAACAACCACTGGCTCGCCAAAGTTCGGCCGAGTGCGTCACATAACTTTGCAGAAAGTTTCGTGCTGCTTGCTGCATGTTGCAGGTGCAACAGCGATTTTTTCTCGTTTGTCGCAATTGAATTTAGCTGAGAATATGCACTCTTGGTGTATTAACGCGCACAAAGAAATCGCTTGGTAGTTGCTAACAAAGCAGGCACGAAGAAAGTTGGCAACTTTTTTTTTAATTTTTGAACTTTTTGTTTTCAAATTAAAGAAAAAATCGAAAAAGGAATAAATTCTAAAGTAAATTGCGTGGGTAGTCCAGGTATTGTTTTTTTTTTTATTTAACTAAAGCAAATCAGCGTTGGTGGCATGTTGCAACAACAAATATGTATGTTGCAGCGACACAAGCACTAAACTCGCAAAGGTGCACAAAAGACAATAAAAACACAAAAACTAATGTTGCGTGTAAACTTTTGCTTCATTGTACGAGCTCTGCACTGGCTTTTGTTGTTGTATGCTTCTTCTTTCACTTCTTTAGTTCATTCATTTGCCGTTTTACTGCGTGAGCACCCTGTCTACAAGCTTAGTTGCCTCACAATTCGCCACTAAATATTTTTATTGCCATTGTTTACAACACTCTCTCGCTGCAGGGCGATCGTTGCGTCAGCCGTTGGCGATGCGTAAAACTTTCGCCAGCCAAGTGTTGGTGACGTAGTTGTCGAAGTGTCGAAACGTGCAAGAGTTATAGAATGTTTGCATGCCAAATAAACACTGCAATGAAGCCAATGAGCCAGGCTGTTGCCAGGTTGGAGTTAGAGAGTAGAAAAATTGATGACGGAGAGCGAGGAAAGAAGTCGAAAGGAAGACCCACTACAAAGTATTTAAATTATATGAAGAACGAGAGAGAATTACCATCTGAGAATAAACCATTAGGAGCATTCGATTGGCTCCTATCGGTTGCTGAGGTATTTCATTCAAGTTTCAGTGCAGTTATAAGAGTATTAGAATTTTGCGGCACCGTTGGCGAACCCGGAAGTAGCTGAAAATTCAGCAGATGTGTTTCGAAGTGTTACCGTCTTAATGTAGCTACTAGCAAGGTCTTTTGCAAATAAGACTTAATGAAAAAAGTCATATTCTGAAGAGGGTTTTGTATGCCAAAAAACTCTAGTTGGCGGCCCACAGTAAGCCTGCTTAATAATTTTATATGCACGAGTACATCTTCCAACCATTCCATATTCATGTGGTTGACGTTCAGTTGCGCCGCGGTTATGCATATTTTTTCCATACTTCTTCCAAAAATTCATTTCCTTCTAATACACAGCAACCGCCGCCCACACTTTATGGCGCACACTTCATCCATTGTTATTGCCAATGGCAACGATGCATCATCGAAACTTGCGAACATGCATAAATTCAACAGACATCGAACGATATTCGCTTGACCTGTTTGCGGTCTGTCTACTGCACGAGCGTTGCGAAGTTGTTGCTGTAGTTTTCATGGCATAACTTGGTGCCCACAACAGAAATGCCAAACTGTTTGCAAGGCAATAAATCAAAACGGGGGCGTGTAAGAGAGCTAGAGTGAGAGAGAGAAAGATGGGGAAAATTACTTATGTATGCATGCGTAAGTAGAAAAGTGTGGCAACAGTGTCATTTTGTACCGTTACACTGCCAATAAAGTGTACATTCTTGTGTTTTGGAAGCTCTTATTGTGGCAATGATTTAAGTAGCTATTGAGAAAACACCAAAGAGCGGTCATAGATGCAAAATACGTTCGAGCATATGAGTGTAAAGAGTTAGGAGAAGTGATGTGTTATTAGTAACTTAAAACTCCACTAGGTTGGCTTGATTTATACCAAAATTTAGGGCTCTCAAACCTCAGTACAGAATGCTTGTATCTCCAACCAGTAGACAATCTGATACAATTCAGTGACGGTACTAAATTAATTCTGCGTTCTTCTAGAACTCTAGATGCAAAAGGCGCTGTTTATTTGGGGTCTTGATTTTTTTTAAGTCCAGAAATGGGCAATAATTTTATTGTCTTGAATGGAACCCTCCTATTTTAGCTTGGCAGCCTCTAAAATCTGTATGATTGGTTTCGGTTCTTAAAGACTTCTCGCTTTGTTATGATCTCTGGAAATGAATTTTGTTTGAGTATAAATTTAAAATTATTTTAAGAAGAACTTTCCTACACCCTATGAAAACTTGAATGGTTTAAGAAATAAGTTTTGAATTTTTTTTCAATCAATTTAGAATTTTAGAGAAAACTTTTGTACCAAATTTTTTCATTTATGTTTTCGTTTGAACTGCTAATTCTAAGCAAAACGGAAGAGTTGCGATTTTTTATATATTGCTAGCACTTTAGGAACCACACATGCTGAAAGAAAAACCGCTACTTAGCCGTCAGCAATGTTTGGAGCGTATAAACATTTTGCGTGGAGCACTTATGTCTGCCCAGAAGCCAGCTGAAACAGCGGCAAAAACACTAAAAGACACTGGGATAGCAGTGAAATGTTGCAAGTCCGTCTCGCCGGAGTTCTGCAGCATATTGAAGCGCTACGAAATGCCAAGAGAGCCGCTTAAACCGCTCAAGATCGTAAAGAGGAAGCAAAAACAATTGGAAGCGGAGCCAGAACCGGCGAAAGATTTGAGCATCGATGAAATGGATCCCGCCATGGCGCGCTACATGCGCATGGTCATGGAGGCTAACAGTATACAAAATTTACTATATGATATAAATTTTTATGGCGTCGCTGAGCGGCCAAAAAAGAAAAGTGTTAAACCTTAAAACGAAAATTGCCTGCAAATCTAATTTTTACAATAAAAAGAAAGATTTTTGCTCGAGTTTATATGTATTACAAATATTGACATTTCCTAGTTTGAAAGAGATATGTGGCTTCAGTTCCAATTCGGATTTTCACTTTAAAATTGTCTATACCACTAGACCGTTTATACCTAATTCGGTTACATGCGAGTCTGAACTTAACATAAAAGCGAATTTGGTATTCTATGGATTGGAGTTATTTAATCGTGTAAGTTTTCCTGCGAGTGCTCTACATAATTATAGTTCTAAGTTCATTTTCGAGCATCTATGTCTATGGAACTGTAAAAATTGTTTTCCTCTGGTACTACAATTATTTAATGTTCAAGTAATAAGAAAATTCCAAGGAAGATAAGGAAGACCAATTTTCCGGGTATTTTAAAACCCTCTTTCCGGCGGAAGTTTTCTGTTTTGAGGAAGAAAGGCCGAATCAGAAGGTTATGACCAAAATAAATGTCGTGAATTGACAGGCAAAGGTTAGTTTAGGGAGGGAAGAGAGAAGGACTGAAATTTTTAGCTACAGAGAGAGTAGTTTTACGGAGACTCCGACATGATCTAAAGTTAAAAAAGATGAGTTAATTTTCCTTTATCTCACTCGAGTAAGTACTTAACATTATATTTTAGTGCGTTTCTGAATTTTTCAAAATAAGGTTGAAACATTGGCATATCAAAAAGTGAAACACATAAAAAATATGAAAATTCATAAAAATATTAAAATATTATAAAATATTCTAAAAAATTTTAACTAAATTCAAAATATAAATGTTTATACCATTTTGTCAACATAAGCTCAGGAACGAATGTGAGCACGCATACGGCTATGCTAATAGTTATAATAGAAGGCGCCACGAAGACCCCGATTATTTGGATCAGCATGCCTGGGATTTCATACGCACATTCAGCGATCAGACGCATAAAAATTATTTGTTAGCTCGCCACTTGAAGGCCACCTCGAACGGACAGTGGAAAACATTGCAATGGCTTATGCAAGGAGACCTGGATGCGGTCTTAGACAAGCGGTTGGCCAAAAAGACGTCTGGTAAAGGTCCAAAGACCGCAAAGGCTGGCGTATGCTGCCAGGAGAGGGTCGATAGGTCAATTTTTGTGCCTTTAACCAATTATGTTGGTCCGGAAAATATTGAACAGTTAATATCCCAGAAATCTCAACATGTTTTAGACTTTACCATTAAGAGAATGAATGATGAAAAGCAGGATATGTATTCACATGCTAATCAAATCAACGAAAAAGAGGTTAAAACATTTCCAGACAATAATCCGAATCGAGTCAGGTACGGAAAAACTCCTGCAGACGTGACGGTTAAACGCGGTCTAGGCAGTACAGGATTCCCGCGTATTGATGAGGATCTTGAGCGAGCTGGCCAAAAGACATATGGTCTTGAATTGGGACACACAAGCACGTTGAAAAGTATAACCCCTTTGGCACATCGCCCAACAGCCGGTTATTTAACAAGCTTTCAGCGTAGTATAGAGAAGAATCAAATGAAGAATTTCATAAAAACTATGAACCAATTCTATGCAGATGTTACCGAACCCCAGCCTATGGATGTAGACAGTGTGGAGGAGTTACTGCAAGCACTACAAGAAGAATTCTATAGAACTTTCTCATACGAGTATAAGAGACCCTCAAGCAGCAAGCGGGAGCAATCAAAGCTGCGTCTGTCTGCGATTATCAGAATGTTAAAGAGCATGCCAGGCTATGAAGCTTTTGAGCGTGTATTGTATCATGAGCCTTTTGATCGCGACAAACCATGGACCTGGATGCGGACTTTCCCCAAACGCATTCCCAAGGAATATTTGAATAGAGTATCAGAGAACATATTAACTGAAATGAAAAAATGGAAACGCCAGCAAAAGATTATTGCCTTAACATATTCTCCACGCAAACGAGTTATAGCTGCTATAAAAAATCCAAGGCTTCAAAGGAAACGTGGACGGAAAAATTTAAAAAGTCAAAACCCAAAAGAGCACTTAGACGATGACGACTATTAAATATTTGGACATGTGGAAATTTGCCACATGTAGCAGCGGGTTTGTACATGGAAAAGATTACGGAAATTAATATAGTGGGTTGACTGGAAAACTTACAGGAAAAAAAACGCTCTCATTGTGGTTAATATGATAGATTGTTTCGAAAAATTTCGGGACTAAAATTTTTTCCACTAAATTCTACAATTTTGATTTTGCTGGGACAACTGTTTTGGACTTTCCTTCCCATGAAACTCAACAATTGTGATTTTTGGGACAAAATTTACTTTTTGGGACAACGAAGTTTTAGTACTTAAATCTTTACCTACAAATTTCTGCAATTTCGCAAGAAAATCAACAATTGTAATTTTTGGGACACATTTTCAGGTATAACTTTTTGGGACAAATACAAACCCAGCTTTTGGGACAAAAGTCTTTTGAACAAACTTTTTTGGGACATATCTCTAAATTAAAAATTATTAAAAATTATTTTTTTCGGTAGCTACTTTTTGGTTTTATGACTCACTTATATTGAACACGGCTGCTATGGATTCGATTTAAATCAAACTATATCTTAAACTCTTATGTACCTATAGCAGGTTAATGTAATGAAAATTTATGTTATAAAACTAATGACATTTTCGTAGAACTTTTTGTACATATATTTCATAATTCAAAATTAACATAATTAAAATAAAATTTGTTTACTTTTCAAAAAAAAAAACTTTATTAAATTTAATAAAAACCCCATATGTACGCTAATTTTCTCGCTGGCACTTGGCGGTAAGTGGTTGAAGATGTGCACGTGCCGAAAGCGCGTGGACGATTACCATCGATTCGCTCGCAGAAATAAGAACTCGCAATGCAAACGGCGTGAGTCAACTAATCGTATTAGCGTAGGCGAAGTGAACTCCTCGAAGACTGTATATAATGTTTCAAACCACAAATGTGCTATGCCTAATACAGAAAACGTCAGAAAAGGGCGACCCAAGCGCAAGACTAAATGCAATAAAAGGATTAAAGAAACACCTTCGATTCCATTTACCGCCTGTTTCAACGCTGATGGACGACGTGTGTCGGATCGCGGAACACCAGACAATGAAGCAAATATTAAATGGCGTCCTTTAGGTCATGCTCTGCGGGCGGCATATGCTTTTGCACCAGAACTGGGCGTTGGTAACACGGGGTTAAGTAGATGTAATCCAAAACCCCGCACAGCGGAGTCTCCCGTTGCCATTCGAGTTCAGCAAGTAATTGACATATTGGGCGATCTCAGGAATAAAAGAATTGGCGACTATCGGCCGACAGCATACGTCGCTAGAGGTGGGGACGTTTTCCGTGCTAAAGGTGGCACTGCTGTTGCTGGAATTCGCACGCGAAACGAACCTCCTTGTGCTCAAGCAACGCCTAATGTTATTTCTGCCCACAAAGATGCTTACAACCCATGCGTTGGTCTGTTGTATGACAAAGATGATACATTTAAATGTATCGCTTGCACTCAAACCGGCGGTATTGTCAACTACAGAGCAGCTCGTGGCGAGCAAAGAGTCGCACCCACAATGAGAGCAAAACTAACTGCAGCTAAAGAGAAGCAAGAATTCGCGTGCCTCATTAATAATTTATCTAATCATTATACCTACGTAAATGGCGACGACGCAATGAAAGAGTACGAAATGCAAAGCAAAAGGCTCGAGAACCTAGAACCGGTAATATCGCTGATATTTTAGAACTTAAATAAAAATCTAACTGCATGCCATTTTAGACAGCAATTTTGCAAGAGTCTTTTGAATTGGAGAGGCCTTCGACTTGGAGAACAATTTTTCCCAAAAACGTCGTCAACAAATATCTAAAGCGATACTCTGATTGATGAAACGAGCGAGATAAGCAAGAGGGAAAACGACAAAAGAAAGACCTATTAGTCTCGAGAGAACTTTCAGCGTAGCAGCTTCTAGTTTTCTATGACATTTAGTCAAGAAATGGAATTTAAATTTGCGTCATCAAAGGCAAGCTGAACATTTTTTGGGAAAAAGTGAAGTCCTTGAGACAAAACAGCTTCTGGGGATTAGAATTTAGACGCACACATCGCATTTAATACGATAAGCAGTGCTTTTAAATTTTCTATGCCATATGCCTTTTGTAGCTATTTTGGAAAATATATTTTTATACCTTGGTAACTCTATAAAAGTCCCATTTTTTGATAATCGCAGTTTGGCAACTCTTAAACATTCTATTCGGAGTTTCAAAAATATTTTAAACCAACATTTTCATAAACCTTAAAATTTTGGTTCATTCTTTTGGAAAATCTTAAAAAATTCAAAATTATCATGTCTGTTCCAGTTTGCCGATCGTGCTGCGCCAAAACTGGTCGTACCGTTTTAATCAACAAGTTAACCAAGTGTCCAGATGCCGGGCAGAGCAGTAGAAAAGTTGCAAAAAATGCCAGCTGCATGTGTAGAGACGAATGGAACTTCATACAAAACTTTGGGCACGAAATGTACAAAAACTATCTTCTAATGCAGAGTCTTAAGAAGCATACAACGTGTACTTCAAGACTTGTCGAATGTCTGCAGCCGAAAAATGTGGAAAAATTCGTAAAAAAACAAACGAATGTAAAAGCGATTACAAAAGGCAGTCCAAAGGTGTTGCCCAGTATACCGTTTATACATAATTTCGATTTTTTGAATAAACTAAATTATGTTGTCGGTGCTGGCGCCGGCGCTGATCCTCTAAGTACATCCAAAAAGGCGCAAGCGCATGGAGCATTTAAAGAAAATAGAGGGCTTAAGTGTGCCGAGAAACTTCGACCCGCCTCTAATTTTCCAAAGGTTGCTACAGCGGCATCACAACCAACACATACATTTTCTGACAGTATAGAACCAGTAAATGCTGTCAGTCAAGCGCTTGCTCAACTTCCAGATGTTGGAGGAGAGCACGTAAATTGGTTTGGACATGACATAGGATATAAAATAGTGCCAAAAACTGGAGCTGTCGAACTCGATTTTGGAACAAATCCGACAGCTGCACTTGCGGAACAACGCTATGAAACGTTTGAACCTAGCAGTGTCTTTAGATTACCTAAAGATGGTGTTAGATCCAAAACGTTTTCAAAAACTAAAGTTCGTCGTGATGGCAAAAATAAAGCTTTACCATGTACTGAAACACAAAAACGAACTTTGAGACATTTTGATTTAGTATGCGTGAAAGGTTTCCAGCCAAATAGAGATAACTTCAACCTTGCACCTGATGCAATGAGTGGTTTTGGACTTCCAATGCACACAGTTGGCGCGCTAAACGGTTTAGGATATGTAAGAGAAGCTGCTTACTTACCGCATATCGCAGTTCCACGACAGTGCAATGGTCTTGTGCCTACTAAATATTTGGCTTATGCGGGAGTTTCTGATAAAATACAAATCCCTAGAGCTATCGTAGATTTGAGAAGCAGAGAAGGTTTTCAATACAACCCATTTGATGAAGCCGGTGGAATACCACGTGATTTAGGACCTTTTCTAGATACACACAATTTAAAACAGACGGTTGGTCTTAGCAGCGGTAAGCCTGGATTTCCTCAACAAGGTAAAATACCTATAACTGCTGCTTGTCTCGGTAATATGGAAGCTTATAGGTACCTAACACGTATTGGCGGCTTTTCGCAAGCCAATTTGAAGAGAACTGTGAATGGCTTAGGATGCATTGGAGAACAGCCTACAAAAGTTAGACCTCTTGGTGGTCTGAGGAGCACTAAGCCTAGTCATTATGTGCCGTTTGTTGAAATGTCTCGACCGGCAATACATTGTGGCTTTGGGAATATGGAAGCTTATAAATATTTGAGACATTTCGGAGGACCTCTGCATGGTCATCTTACGGCGGCAGCAAGAGACTTAAGAAGGTTTGAAGATGTTAACCTTTTAGGACGTGCTGGCAGCACACGTCAAGGCGGCGTTATGGGGCCTGCTGGCTGGAATTACGTTGATACCTTTGGTTACTTGAATCCAGCACATATAATTGGAGATGCAGACCCCGATACATATTGGGAATTAGAGCAAAGCAAAGTTCCAAAATATTTTGGTTTTACTCCTGCTCCAGAAAATGTTACTGGAGCTGCTGCAGACTCAGGATATATCGGAAATTCCGGTTATTTAAGACAAAATAGCGTTTCACGCCGCGGAAAAACTGATTTCTTTGCGCGATATTCGGATCAGGCTGGAGTTGCACGGCAAGCGGGTGTTGTTGGTAATACCAGTGGTCGTGGAAGGACTGATGGTTCAAAATACTTTGTTGTATATAGGCCTTCTATAAATGCAAGACAGAGTATAGTATCGCGTCGACCAACTGGCTTAATGATCCGAGAAGCACCTCGGTTAATGCGGCACATCGTAATACCTCGACGGGAAGATTCAAGTGGGATTGAAGCTGATTTGGCGTACATTAGAGAGGGTCGTTTATTTAAACATTATAAAGTAGCACGTACTTTCGGATCTCTTCCAACAAATGTCCATGAAGCTATGAAACATTTAAGACGCCCTCTAGTTTCTAGTCAAAGAAATAGATTTGGACCTTTTGCTGGATTTGAATACGGAGATCCTCGGTTAAAATACTTTACATCACGTCGTCAAGGAACAAAAAACGAATTACGTTATGCAGAGGCTATTAAAAATATGAGACGTTTTAGAGCACCTGGTTATGAAAGCCATCCTGGGATACATCCCCGCGGTCCTTTTGACTATACTAAATTTAGAAGTACTGAAGGCCAAATTCCAGAGAATTTTCAAGCCAGTCGTTTTAGAAGGGGTATTGGTCACAGGCTAAAGAGGCGTTCTACCCATCCGAGAAAAACTCTGAATCAAGAAGAAGTCAATTTCGATCCACAACGTTGGGCAGGTTTTTTCGCTGCTGAACCAGGCTACGTTTATGATCCAGGCTATACAGGCCATTCGTATCCATTGATCAGTGCATTTTTCGGCAATAATTATGGCCTGCAAGATTTAGATCAGCACAGTATTGCTATGCCAAGCTTAGAAGAACAACGACAACGTGAAAGGGCGCGACTTCACAGTCTGAACTTATTTTATAGTATAATAAATCAACCAGATATGGAAATGGAGGCTGCCGTACCGGAAGAATTTTCAATACCCAACGATTATCACACCGAGCTAAAAGCGGGAGAAAAAATAGGAAAGAAAGAAAATGAACTCTCTTTACTACATGTGGCGAAACTCTTAAAAGATCATCGCAAGAAGACATTCCATCCGGTTGCCTTCCATGAACCATATGATAAAGAGAGACCATGGACGTGGATACAGAATTTCCCTAAAAACATTCCAAACGAGATTTTAAAACGGCTCTCGCCAAAATCATTGCAAACTCTAAGGGCGTGGCAACGTTATCAAGCACTTCTGGTGGAGAAATATGGAGACCGAAGCTCTCCCAAAACGAAGCATGATAAAAAGAGACGGCATGGAAACAAGTAGTGTGTAGTCTATATAAAATTAATCCAAAAATATACAAACTAAAATTATTCCTCTTTACGAACAAGTGTTTTTGTTATATATAGATATATAGAGAAATGATTAATATACTGGATATTAAATGAGCCGTTTGAAAATTTTCAGGGATTTTTGTTAGCGATACACTGTGTGCTGGTATAATACTTTGTAGCCGCTACTCTCTTCGTCTATAGCTCTGTGTTTAGCTCTCTCTCTCTCTTTTACATTCAAGTTAACTTCAGTTCTACTTGAACCTCAAGATCGTACTAGTAGCTGTGGCTTCGGTTCCAATTCGGATTTTCACTTTGAAATTGTTTATTCCTTTCTGAACTTAACATAATAGCGCCTTTGGTATTCTATGGATTGGAGTTATTTAATCGTGTCAGTTTTCCTGCGAGTGCTCTGCAAAATTATAGTTCAAACCTAATGTTTACTAGATGATGAATGTTTACTAGATAAAGTTATGGATCATTTTCGAGCGTCTACGTCTATGGAACTGTAAAAATTGTTTTCCTCTAGTACTACAATTACATAATTTTCAAGCTATAAGAAAATTCCACGGAAGATAAGGAAGACCAATTTTCCGGGTATTTTGACACCCCCTTTCCGGCGGAAGGTTTCTGTTTTGAGGAAGGAAGGTTGAATATGTAGGTTATGACCAAAATAAATTGACGTGAATTGACAGGCAAAGGTTAGTTTAGGGAGAGAAGAGAGAAGGACTGAAATTTGTAGCTACAGACAGAATATCAGCACCGCTGACTAGAAACGTAGTTTTACGGATGATTGAGACTCCGGCATGATCTAAAGGTAAAAAGATTAGCTAATTTTTGTATTTCTCGCTCCACTAAGTATTCACCATTTTATTTTAGTGCGTTTCTGAATTTTCTAAAATAAGGTAAAAGCATTGGCATATCAAAAAGTGATAAATATAAAAAATATGAAAATCCATAAAAGAATTAAATATATTAAAAATTATTCTAAAAAATTTTAACAAAATTCGAAATATAAATGTCTATGCCATTTTGCCAGTGTAAGCTCAGGAACGAATGGGAGCACGCATACGGCCATGCTAATAGTTATAATAGAAGGCCACACGAAGACCCCGATTATTTGGATCAGCATGCCTGGGATTTCATACGCACATTCAGCGATCAGACGCATAAAAATTATTTGTTAGCTCGCCACTTGAAGGCCACCTCGAACGGACAGTGGAAAACATTGCAATGGCTTATGCAAGGAGACCTGGATGCGATCTTAGACACGCGGTTGGCCAAAAAAACATCTGGTAAAGGTGCAGAGACCGCAAAGTCACACGCCAGCCAGGATAAGGTCGATAAAAATTATTTGTCAGCTCGTCACTTGAAGACTACTACTCATGGACAGAGAAAATCATTGCAAGAGCTAATGCACGGAGACCGGGATGCGCTTTTGGACAAGCACATTGCAAACAGAACATATGGTACTGGTGCAAACACCGCAACGGCATATGCTAGCCAGAAGAGTGTCGATAAGTCAAGATATGTGCCTTTAACCAATTATTTTGGTCCGGAAAATATTAAACGGTTAATATCCCAGAAACATGGATCTCAACATGTTTTAGACTTCGCCGTAAATAAAGACGAAAAGCAAGATCATTTTCATGCAAGTCAATTCAAACAAAAAGAGGTAAAAACAGTGAAACGCGGTTTAGGATTCACTACTGGATTCCCGCGTATTGATAAAGACCTCGAGCGAGCTGGGGGAAGGAGATATCTAACAGAAATAAAATTTCAGCGTAGTAAACAAAAGAACCAAATGAAGAATTTCATAAAAACTATGAACCAATTTTATGCAGATGTTACAGATCCCCAGCCTATGGATGTAGACAGTGTGGAGTTGATGCAAGCACTAGAAGAGGAATTCTATAAAACTTACTCATATATGAGTATGAGACCCTCAAATAGCGAGGAGGAACAAACAAAGCTGCGTCTGTCTGCGGTTGTCAGAATGCTAAAAAGCATGCCAGGCTATGAAGCTTTTGAGCGTGTTTTGTATCATGAGCCTTTTGATCGCGACAGACCATGGACCTTTATGCGGACTTTCCCCAAACGTATTCCCAAGGAATATTTGAATAGAGTATCGCAGCACATAGTATCTGATATGAAAACATGGAAACGCCAGCAAAAGATTATTGCCTTGACATATTCTCCATCCAAACAAGTTACAGATACTGCTCGTAGGCTCCAAAAGAAACGTGGACGGAAAAATTTAAAAAGTCAAAACCCAAAAGAGCCCTTAGATGATGACGACTATTAATTGTGTTGACATACGAAGCAGCGGGTTTGTGAATGGGAAAGATTAACGAAATTAACATAGTGGGTGGTATTCGTCCGGAAAAACTCAATCGGTAGGCCGATGGAATTTATGAAATCAGAGCAGAAGTTAAATCGCTCTCATTGTGGTAAATATGATAGATTGATTCGAAAAATTTCAGGATGAAAATTTTAACCCACAAATTTCTACGTTTTCGGTTTTTTTTCGTACAATTTGTTTTTGAACTTTTTCGTTTAGATGAAAAATTTTCGAGCAATAGTTTTTTGAATAAAATTTTTTGTAATATATCTCTAAATTAAAAGTTATTAAAAATACTTTTTTTCGGTAGCTACTTTTTGGTTTTATGACTCACTTATATTGAACACGGCTGCTATGGATTCGATTTCAACCAAACTGTGTCTTAAACTCTTATGAACCTATAGCAGGTTAACGTAATGAAAATTTATGTCACAAAACTAATGACATTTTCGTAGAACTTTTTGTACATATATTTCATAATTCAAAATTAACATAATTAAAATAATTGTTAACATTTCTAAAGTAAACTGGATTGGCCATTGCGAAAGATACTGCTGCATACCAGTTATATACCAGTTTAGTTTACCTTCTTAACCTTTCGTCATTTTTATTTACCACAACTTTAAGTGCTTCACCACTTTTCTTCAGTTCATCACTGCAATCTCGAACTATAGTGTATTGCAGCAGCGCTTGTCATCTTCCAGCGCTTAAGGCTCATTGCTTGCATTTTTTCGCTTTTAAATTTACTTATTTCGCTCTTTTTTTTGCTTGCTGTTTATCCTGCCTGATTTATGCGCTGCTTTATATCTTCACTCATTCACTGCGCTATAATAAAGTCGAGTACACTGAGTCAGTGCATGCGTCCGCTACCGCATTGCTACGTCCAGCTTTAGCTTCCGTTACTTTAGTGGACGCCATACATACAAAATGACTGCTGCGTCCTTGTGGTGACGATAGCCATCGGGTGAGCAAGACGTAGCGTGTCCGAAAAAAATGTGCAAAGAGTAGAAAAAATCCCGCTGACATTGATTGATGAGTGCCTGCGTTGACGCAGGAAGACGTAGCTGTTCTTTTTGTGCATCTTCTGCGCGCCGTTGTTTTCCACTCATATTTATGTCGCCGTCATACTGAGATTTTTTAAGTTTTTATAGCGGCGTGGTAAAACGAAATCTTTGGCTTAGATACATCGCTGAAATTAAAGTCTGTTTGGCAGATCTAATCATAAGGCAATAATTCTTACGTATATACCATACTACTTTCCGGTTGCGCAACAGTTGACGAATTACTACAGTTTGGGTATCTAAGTCTCTTCTAAATGTTTGCCACGCCACCGAGCTAAAAGCTCTTTCACAGCTATAGTGACATATTGAGTTTAAGCTAGGTTTTAGGTAAACTTTTAAGACTCAATATGGTTTTAAGCTAAAGCCAAAGTATTAGATCCACTCTTATTGTATTTGCTGACTAGATTCAAGAGCAGTACACTCATTTTCACACTTCTTCACCTTAATCTGCAGGGAAGGTAAAAAGCGCCAAACCAAATGAGCTGAGCTGGCCTGTGTGACAAGAAATTAATCTACTTCGAGTGTTGCAAGTGCTTGTCAGTCGTTAGGCAAACTTAAATTGACAAGAAACCACAAATAAGCAAGAAAATAAGAAAACACAAAGCAACAAATAAAGAAAAAATAGTAAAAAAAAAATTAGACAAATATGACGCAAAGGAAAGTGATAATGAAATAAAGCAAAACAAATGCGCGCAAATTGAGTAAAACAGTAAGGAATGGAGATTGCAGAAAGCAAGTAAGCAAGTGTGGTGGTAAAAATTGCGTATAAACACAAATACTGAAATCGAAAAAATTGCTGAGTTAATACGCTCTAATCCTCACAGTTTTTTCACATACCTTCCTGTTTTCACTCGCATTTTTTTTTCCGCATTCTCTACTCCGCTTTTGCGCATTCTTTAGCAATTATTGTTTTTTTTTAAATCTTTTTTTTTACTAGCGCTCTGCTGCATTTTTTGTAACAATATTTATTCAAAACCTTCGCTTGTTGTTGTTGCTGCTATTTTTATTTCCATTTGTATTGTTTTTACTTGCTGTTGCATCATTTCCGTTTTGTTTACTTGCACTCAAATGAACTAAACGGATTTTGCATTTCCGTTTCCATGTTTTGCACATCCGCTGTGACAAGCAATCCGCTGCCCTGCGCCAACACAAACCGCAGCTGGCATTTAGAGCTTTGAACGCAATGGAATTCATTTATTTCGAATGCAGTATTGTTGTTTTAGATTGTGGGCGTTCGTTTCTTGTTGGTTTTTGTGTTGTTGTTTTAGTAGTGCTCTAACGAAGTGCCGTTATATTTAACTATCTCTTTACACTTAAAATGTGTGCCAAATTAAGTTTGGTGCGAAGAAAAGGGAGGTTAGAATGGGAATTTGATAATCGATATTTCAGCGGAAAATCGTTGGCTTTAGATCAGTATAGCGATCTAACTGGTTTTCTTAATTTAAGAGCTTTGGAGTTAGAAACGAAGAGCTCGCAAGAGGCGGCACTCTCGCTCCACTTACAACAGAGTGAGAACAAGTTGGTTAGCGCTTGTCCTCCTGCGTTCTAGCACGGCACCTTTGATCCACGCGTGGGCTCAGCAGGTAGTGTTCGTTGACAAGCTTCAAAGCCACTGCGTGGTCCTTCTGTCCTAAAGTAGATTGCTGCGGATCTACTGAACTACTTGCTCTCAGCAAAGTTCAGTCGCAGAGTTTGTTACTGAATATTCGCCGATAGGCATTCAAGCGGTAAGCTAAATATCTTATCGAAAGTTAATTGTCAAAGAAGGAAGATGAGGTGGATATATCCCCGCAATTTCTCTTCCATTGCACCTCCTATCTGGTTCCTATCTTTTTCGTTTCCTTTCATATCCACCAAAACCACCGAAAAAAAATCGAAAAATCATTAAATTTGGCAAACTAGAGGCCGAAACTCATCAATCTTAAACTTGGGTTTGAAAAAATGATTTCAATATCTGCCGCTAGATGTCACCTAGCTATTTCATATAGAAAACTAGAATGAAATGGCAAACATAAATTTTTGGTAAATGTATTTCATTTGCATTCAGCTAAAATAAAGCAAACAAGCTTTGTGCTAATCGTGCTTCATAACTACATGCGCTTCTAGCGATTTATTTATATTTCCGCCTACAAATAGATTACATTGCCGGCAAACTTCGAAAACTAATTTCAATTTACGACTACCAGTTTGACAAATTTATACTTTATAACCGCACTGTCAACAGTGTACACACAAATGTAGTAACGAATAGCTGTGCTTGTCATCATTATCGGCAGTGCGCTCCCAAAAGTATGCACACAATTGATAACAAATGTGAAAAGTTCACACACAACAGATGGAATAATGTTTTCAATAATGTCTCAATTTATTCAGCCAAATTCATTGCATGCGCGCCGGCGCAAAACGCCTGCGACACGCGTCAACAAGTCAACATAATTCACAAATATGTAATTATTGACAATACATATGCAAACGATTTGTGGCAACGAGTTTTGCGCAGCAAATGCGAAATTAAATTGAATTTGCGGCGTGTAGTGATTGTTTTTAGCAGCGTATAAAATAAAATGTTGCGCCTAGTTGTAGGCCAAACAGTAAGGCAGTGGAGTAGGCTTGTAGTGCAGCGCTGAATGAAGTGAGGCTGTGTGCAGCTGTTGGATCATAGCAATTTGCATAGAAAATCGGGCGATAAAAGTGCATTTGCGCGGACGCAGGCTAGCGGTTGCGGCGCCAAAAATTATGCTAAAGCGCGCAACCGACGCCTAGCCGACAACAAATACTCATAAATTCGATTAGCATTATGGCCAAGCGTGTGGCAAGCTTACGCGCGTGTGTGGCATGTGTTGTTGGTGCAAATATTTGCACGCCGTGTGCGAACATTTTGATATCACAAATAAATTTGCCGTTTACATATATAGCAATTGTGTGTGAGCCCACGGCCAACGCCTAACAGCGAGTTTGTGAAAAAAGAAAATGAGTAAATAAAAACAACAACACAATGCAGCGCACATAGCCGCTTTTGGCTTACAACTTTTTGCCTTGTTGCTGCTTTGTGTGTGCGTGTGTGGCATGTGGCATGATTTATGGCTGCCACAGCAAACGTTAGCCGCGACTCGACTCGTTTTGGCTTGGTTTGGTTCTGTTGCTTTGCCGATATTTTATATGGCGTTTGCTGAAATTTGGCATTATGTGTTGTTATTGTTGTAAGCGTGGCATTTGTTGATATTTATTTCGTTGCTTGTGTGTTTGGCGTGCTGCTACTGCCATGATTTATGCATTCGCATTGGTTTTTATTGATTTTCGATTTTCGCGATTTTGCCATTCAGCACCTAGTTGCAGTTGTTGTTGCTGTTCGCTTATTGTAATTTTTTGTTGTTGTTCGCAAATCACTGCCAGTTGCCAGTTGTGAGTGGTTTCTGCTCATATAGGCTTGCGGTAATCAAGGCTGCGTCCCAGCGGATCTTTGATTTTATTTATTTGCCGATTTTTTTGCCTCACCCTGTTGTGTCAAACTCAGCTCGGTGGCTCCCATTTAGCTGTTAGTGCAAAATTGCAATTCAATTGCTAACTTTGTTGCTTACAGGCGGCAGCTGCAACCTATTTGGTGTGGAGATGCGCACGAAATCCAGTAGGAAATTGTTGACAGTGCGGAAAATGTAGAAGTCGTCATCAAAAGATGGCGTAATCTGTCATTATTAATTTTCGTGGATGGAATTGAGATCGCCAAGCGTCTAGCCTTAAGTCTGCCGAGTCCTATATATTTTATTGAAACTCGTAGGAGAGGCAGAGTTTCGTCCAAAACATCTGCTGAGAAGTGAGAAGAGAAAAGGTGCCTTCATATTCTGATAGTGGAAGCTTGTAATTTCTAGTTGCTGATATTATCACTTATCTAGTCGCTACCAGATCCTTCTCTACTT